ATCCTTAGGTTTTAGCATTTAAAAACCAGAGTCTTGAATACCTTTGGTCTGGCAGCCCTCATAACAACTGAACAATGTACAACCACACACTGTTTGAAATATTGAGTTCTTGGAGACTCGAACCATATACAAAGCTTCTATATTTTCTTAACCTCCCCAAGATGAAGAACGACTGGAACTCACACTAAAAGAAGAAATCAAATTATAGGCCTGACTACCATTCTTATGATGGATTTATATAGCACATAGAATGTATATCGATTTTCATTTCTCTCATTGTCAAATGATATATTGTTGTTGAATAAAATCAAATAGTGTTCTTGAGAAGGGAACAGCAAAAGTTCCCATATTTTACTGCTTCTGGTCTCTCCAGAGAATTCCATTTTAAAGTGAACATGCTGATGTGTAGCTAGAAAATCTAGCTTAATGACGGGAAACTAACTGTTTATGATAACCAGGCATTGGTTTTCACCCATATCTTGTTTCTCCTCATCTCATCTCTCCTTATGTTTGCACTGTCCTTTTATAGTTGACCATGCCCATTTTGTAGTCCTAGTCACTGGTTTTATTGAACCTTGTCTGATGGAGTTATAATTGCAATTGGTTAAATTTTTATTGTGTTTTAATAGGATGTTTGTGTTTTATGGTGCTTTTATTTTAATCTGTTTGTACTGTATGATTTTCTTCTTGGCAATTGAATGCTTGGCCTTACATTTTGGAAAGCCCTGAGTCGCTTCAGGGAGATAGGGAGGTATACAAAATAATAATAATAATAATAATAATAATAATAATAATAATAATGCTTCAGAAATGTTTAGTAGACTGCTGCTTGGTTGTGTCATTTGAGGTCAGGAACACTTATTGCTTCATAAAAGTAGAAACCACTAGAGTAGAATCATTTGAAATATACTATGTACCTTGTAATTCCATTACGAAAGTCCTTTATGTATGCATTAGCAATAAAGGGTGGGTAGTGTTTGTTTGTTTTGCTTGGCTTTTACTAACTCAAAAATTGTTAAATAAATTTACAAGTGTATCTTGAGGGAACACCTTTTAATCTATGAAGTGACACACCACATTTATACAAGAGAGAAGCATACTATTTGGTTTTCTGGAAGCTGGAACAGATCAAACTGAATTAAACACATAATTATATATTTGTGCTTTGTTAGAAATACTATGGTCTTACTAAATTGGAATTTAATGTATTTTTTGGTAATTGAATTGACAATTGTTCCTTTGCTTGTGTAAAGAACATAGAAGTTCTAGATAAAAAGGGAAAATTAATTGTATTTCCTATAAATTCAGTTTGAAAACAGAGTTTCACTAGAGTTATCTAGTAAGCAATATATTTGATAGTGCATACCATATATACTCATATATAAATCAACCTCATACATAAGATGAAGACAGGTCTTGGAGGCAAGATAATGGATTTTGATATGACCTATGGATAATATAAGGGTCATTTCACAAAGAGGGAAAAGCATCTATGCCATATTGGGGGCCAGCTGCCCTTGGCCTCCACTACCATTTATCTGCCCTCACACTCAAAAAGAACAGAAATTGTGCCACAGCAGAGAGAGTATGGCGGATAGGGACTTCTCTTAGCTTTCCCTAGAATAGACTAACTTCTTGCCTTTAGCCACCCTATTCGGGGGGGGGGGGATTCCTTTCTGATAAGAGTTAAGGCAGTGTACTCATTTTGACCTGTGGATAAGTTGACCCAGGCTTTTGGGTTTAGTTTTTATTACTAAAACTTCTAGTCTGTTTGAATTTCATTTATTTAGAGTTAAACCATTTGCTCTATGACTTGGAACTGGGAACTGTGCATAACAGTTCCTGTACATATCCTACTTTAACACTAGTTAATTCTTCCACTGTCATTTTCAAACCAGGTATATTCCCATTTTAACACTGGAAGTTGGTGGCTTAAATGTTAGTAGGGCAGTGAAGCTGGTATGGATTTTAATCTGAACTTGAAAGGAGCTATTTAAGGTGTAGAAATTACTTTTTGGAATAGTTACTACTTTGGACAATCCCCTTAAATTCTAACTGTAAGCCAATGCAGATTCGCTGCTTTAAAGATATGGAAGCCATCAGCTGCCACTACATTGTGATATTTTAAACTATTTCTTGGTTGAAAAGGGATGATGATTGACTTTAGCTGTAATAATATTCACATTTCATATTTGTAAAAAAAATATTTTGTATTCAATTCATTATTATTTGGCCCTAATTTTCTTCTGATCATTATGACAGATACATTATATATTGGAATATCTTTTTGAAGCCTACAGATTGTTCCTCTGAATCTCTTTGGTTCTGTCTGTCATTTCACCAATCTGACAATTCATGCTCTTGTGGAGGGATTTTTGTTTACCCTCATAACCAGCATTCCTACACTACTGTTATTCTGTAATTTTAAATGTTTATTTTAGAGCAAATTTGTAATTCCAGCTTGGAAAACACACAGAGAAAAGAGAAAATATAATGATAAACTATAAGAGAAATATAAAACAGATAGCTGCAGGCATGACAGCACAGAAGCAGAACAGTGGCCACCCTGTCCACTTTTCGGAAAGACCTTAAATGTGGATGTTCCATAGTGCCTTTGGTTAAATAGTTCACTAGATAATTTCTCTCCCCCCCCCCCCCCCCCCCCCCCCCCCCCCCCCCCCCCCCCCCCCCCCCCCCCCGCCCACCACCATAATCCAGTATTCAGTTACCATGTCAGTCTATGGGTTGATTGCTCATGTTATTTTATGGTGTTTTAAGGTTGTTTTATGATGTTGGTTTTATAAATTTTACTGTGCTATGTTTTAATTCTATGTTTGACTGGGCATGTTCCCATGTAAGCCGCCCCAAGTCCCTTTGGGGAGATGGTGGCGGGATACAAAAATAGAGTTGTTATATTATTATTATTATTATTATTATTATTATTATCATTATTATTATTATCATTATTGCAAACAAGGTGTATGTCAAAAGGTTACAGGAATTAATTTTACTCCTCAAGAGCAAGGAACTGAACAATCACTGGGTGTGGAGTGGGGATGCATTGACATCATACAAAGATGACCGTCCAGCTGCAATGTCAGTTTGCCTGTCTTATGGATAAAGTTCTTGGCCACCTTGTAAGTCAGGGTCAAGCATCCTGTGACTTTCCAGATATGTAAGATAGCAAAGTCCAGCAGCTGTCACTGGCCAGGCAAGATTGAAGGATAGTGGAAGTTTAGACCAACATACCTGGAGGGTCATAAGTTACACATCCCAGGATAGGTTGTGCTGGACTTGTACTAAGAGGTTCCTAAATGCATTAATTTGATTTCCTGACTCTATGAAAATAGGAGTGTATATCCCCTGGACCAACACACAAATTTTAATGGATTTTCTAGCTCTTCCTTCTCTTCCAATTGTTACGGCTCTAGGGCTCAATGTTATATAATAATTTAGTTGTTATAAAAATAATCTAAAATAGGCACAGCTCAGCAGGAAGATCTTGGAACCAATCTCTGAGCAGATCCAATGGACTGGCCCTTCCTCCCATCTCTCACTTTGTTGCAATCTCTAATGGATAATGCTATGCAAAATTAAGATTGTGTTGTCTATAGGATGGCATAACACCACTTGTTGTTCATTCGTTCAGTCGTCTCCGACTCTTCGTGACCTCATGGACCAGCCCACGCCAGAGCTCCCTGTCGGCCGTCACCACCCCCAGCTCCTTCAAGGTCAAGCCAGTCACTTCAAGGATGCTATCCATCCATCTTGCCCTTGGTCGTCCCCTCTTCCTTTTGCCTTCCACTTTCCCCAGCATAATTGTCTTCTCTAGGCTTTCCTGTCTCCTCATGATGTGGCCAAAGTACTTCAGCTTTGTCTCTAGTATCCTTCCCTCCAATGAGCAGTCGGGCTTTATTTCCTGGAGGATGGACTGGTTGGATCTTCTCGCAGTCCAAGGCACTCTCAGAACTTTCCTCCAACACCATAGCTCAAAAGCATCTATCTTCCGCCGCTCAGCCTTCCCTAAGGTCCAGCTCTCACATCCGTAGGTTACTACAGGGAATACCATGGCCTTGACTAGGTGGATCTTTGTTGCCAATCTGATGTCTCTACTCTTTACTATTTTATTGACATTGGACATTGCTCTCCTCCCAAGAAGTAAGCGTCTTCTGATTTCCTGGCCACAGTCTGCATCTGCAGT